AAAAAAAAAAAAAAAATCAGTGGAGAGTCAAACCTGCCATCGCCTCTCTCGGATTGAACTTTACGAAGAAGCGTCGTGGTCTTGCCGGCGAACATTGGGCCGACGATCACGTGAATCTCACCGGACCGTTGGCGAGAAGGCATCTCCATTTGCATACATCGGTTCTGAACTGAAGAAATGCAGGTTTTGGGCACAAAAAGAATGGGTTTTGGGAGGAGAAGATTGGGGTTCTGGAAAAGGGTTGGTGGGTTGAATGAAAAGGACTTAGAGGCTAAAGATGAGAGGGCCAAAGGTGTGGTCTTGGAGATGTGAGGAACAAAGTGGGTTGAGAACGTCGTGGCGGAGATGAGGGCCTTCATTCTTGAAATAGCTAACATCTACTTTGGTCGAGAGTGAAGGCCGGGGAGAGAGACAAGGGTTTAAAGGGTTTTGCTTATTTTGATTTTATTTTGAGAAAAACAAACAATTTTGCCACATTTTATTGTCAAGGCTGTGGACGGTGGACCCGAGCTGGCAAATTTGTCAAATTTTATTGGTTGTTAATTCAAATCGCAGGGCATTTAGACAAGCTTTCTTCGCGGGGTTACATCATCGGTGGGTTTTTTCCTCCAACAAAGAACAACAAAAAATTACCGTGTGAAGAAGATATATCATTTTCACTCTGTTAGATTAGGACTAGGACATTCGTTTGCAGACATGAAATGCTAAAACTGCTTGGTTTCTGATCCAACAATTCCACTTCACTGGCTGCACATAGTTTACAAGTTCTCTTCATTGGGTTACTTTCAATGTCTCAACAGGCCACATATAACGCCATTTCACGCTATTGCCTCTTCCAGCTTTCAAATCACCTTCAAAAAGCTTAGCTCAGGAAGACAGCACCAAAAATGCAGTTACTAATACAACATAACCATTTATTTCAGATGGTGAAACAAGTGTATTGGTTGATGTATAGGATCAATCAATAAAAATATTGATCCACCAAAAAAAATCAATGAGAATTTTAGCCTTCAACTTTATTTCATCTCAAGATTATCGGCCGCTTACTGTGTCTTTTACAGAAAGCATTAACATGAAACCACAAAATGTGCCCAACCATGACACAATTCCATAATCATTTCATGATGGCCGCTTACTGTGTCTTTTACATAAAGCATTAACATGAAACCACAACCTGTGCCAAACCATGACACAATTCCATAATCATTTAATGAAGCTATTTCAAACACAGCAAGAAATCCAATAAACAGAACACTATTATTGCCGTTTGGTGCTCAGAATCAAAAAGGTCTTATCCTAAAGTTGCACCAGCTGCAATCTGGATGAACACTGTTTACTTACAGAAAGTGTAAAGTATTGCAAAGAGATGGCTTTTGGTCTATTCTCGCAAATGTTTCCTGTCCAAGCATCACCAACCCTCCTTCAGCATCCGTTCCCTCTCTAGGATGTACATTCCTTCTTTATACTTTTGGCTTGGCTCATAAGCCTTGTCCTAGGATTATGAAAATCAAAAGCAGTTAGTTTAAACCAGAACTTGCACGCTATAATCTTCATAAGTGGCTAAGAGATTTCCAAACAAAAAATTGGACCACGTGATCAGAGAGTACCGGAAAATTAACTGAAATCTAAAGTGAAGTTTGAAATAGATGGGGCTAGTCTAATTAAGCACATCATAAAAATAGACCATCCCCCTTGAGTCCACCACTAGTCTAAAATCTAGACCACACCCCATTAATGAAAATAGTAATCACAAAACACAAGGAGAAGCAGCCACCACTAAATTGATCAAAAAAGCTGTTATTGAAAGGTTTTTTTAAAATGATTACTTCATAGCAGGATCCTACAAGTTTAACAGCCGCTGATCAGTATAAAATCCATGCTTAAGCATTGAAGCGGAGCATGAACAAGGTCCATGTGTAGCATCATCACGACAGCCAAAGATGCCAATTTAGCAAGACCCACTTGATGTGAGAGTGCTGAAGAGAATAGCATTTTCATATTACATTAGATTTAAGTAGACAAGCTTGTGAATCCTTCCGTTAAGTTGTCTTAGAAAATGGATCGCGGATCATGCATAAACATGGAACCTAAATTAAAAATCACAACAGGCTTTAGAACTTACATATTTCCAGCCCAGAATTTGCTGGCAAGAGCTACAATATACGTCGTTCACAGTATGCAATCCGCTAATGAGTTGCCTCTCTTCAATAGGCCCAAGAGATATATTTACCCTGAAAAAAGAATGCTCAACGATCAGAACAAGTAACAAACCCAGATCATATCATAGCATAAACACATCGGTAAGACTTAACATCAAGTCAACATTTTTACGCACAAGATTTTACTTGGCCATTATTTTGAAATAATGAAATAACATTTATGCTTCCATAAAAATTAGCAATGTTATCAATGTAAACCAATTCGAACCAAAGCGAGAACCACGAAGTGGTACAGGAAATGAGGGTTGAATTGGATGTCTTACACATTCCTGAAGAGATAGGCTCTGCCATAACGGCCCTGAAACTCCTTGGAAACGACGTCGTCGCGGGACGCAGAGTCCACTTTGCAATACCTGCACTTGAAGATCCTTGGCCCACTCAGCGTCTCTATAAACAGCCGCCCCATGATTTTCAATTGTTTTTTTATGGGCCGAGCCCTAATTCCCAAATTGATTTCGCCGTCAAAAAGACACAAACCTGATCCTTCAATTCGCGCTCTCTCCGAGTAAAGAGTAAAATGGTGTTGTGGGAGTTCGGAGGTAGTGGGATAGGAGGCAATAAAATATTGCCACGTCATAATTTGGGGGCATTTTTGTCATCCTAATTATTTCATCTATCTAATTAATCACGAGGCAAATTTTCTCATTTTCTGTTTGGGAAAATGGGTTGGGATGGGACTGATTTTTCCGAGTCCTCCAAAGATCATTGAGTTTTGTTAGCAGCTCTTATTTTCATTTGTTGATCAATTGTGGCTCTCATAAGTTAAAGGGAATTGTCCAGAGAAATATATGCATCATCATCATCTTCCCCAATGCAATACATGAAATTGACCAGAGTATGCAAGGCATATGAGAGTCAATCACATAAACTTAGCCCCTCTGCACACCAGTCTACTGACTGGAAAGTTCTTCCAAGAAATCACAAGAAGAGAAAAAGGCCGAGGAACAAGTTCATATATTGCATTAAAAATAAGGAACCAATAAATGAAAAACAAGAAAATGATTGAGAAGTGCAGTGCATAAATTACTGAATTTTGAACATTGTATAAGCTTTCTAATCCACCTTTCGGGTAATTTACATCTTCTACCTCAATTTTCTTTTCTTCAACCAGATTGAGTGAAAACATGTTTCTTGAATGAACATTTAAACAAATTCAAGAAATTTGATCACAGGGAGAAGAAGGAAGGCAAGGAACTTGAATTGAAAAATAAAAGAGGCTAGTTGGGACCCGCCAAAAAGATCCGTCCAGACCCTCATGTGTTGTGTATCCCTAAGATGAACAGCACCCACCTTTTTTAGGCTCTGCAGCTGCTGCTTCTTGGTTCCCATCTCCCTGTAAAACTACCGTCTTCCCATTCCCCACCCAGCTAGGGTCCTGTTTCTTGAGCTCCTGAGATATCATAACTTTGCGGCTTAGTATGTTGTAGATCTCTTTCACAACCATCTGAAAGGCGGCGACAACATTGGATGAATCGAGAGCAGATGTTTCCATGAAAAACAAACCCTGTGCTTCTGCCAATGCTTTGCCTTCAGAAGTAGGTACCTCCCTGGCATCCTTGAGATCGGACTTGTTACCAACAAGTATTGTAACTACATTCATGTCGGAGTGAGCTGTTCAACAGTATATCCACCTGATCAATCCTCAGTCCATCACATTAATTAAGGATAAATGCTAGGAATCTTTTGAAGCCACAGGGGTACAGGAATAACAAATTGACAGGGATATTGTATTCACAACTAATAGCCATTACCTCATTCAAAATAGTCCACTAAAGAGAATTTGGCGAAGAATGTAAAATAAGACATTCCCAGCAGATATACACGGTGAGGATGAGACACTCATCATCCAATTTTTTTAAGGATACTCACACCTTCTCTATGCAAAGCCCTAAGGCATAAGGCATCACCACCATTTCCTCAATGTATCTAAGATTTTAAAGGCTAATAGTTCATACAAGTCATCTGTTGGCATGTGGGATTCCTAATTAAGGTTACCTAGAAGGCAAACTAAATATTGCATTATGTTGATAAGAACTTGCTGTGGAGTACCAGAAGAAATATGTATTGGGAGAAAGCTATTAAGTAAAAAACAAGGGACACTGTCAAATGACTTACTGTGGAGTTCATTAAGCCATCTGCCAATGCTATCAAACGTCTGGCGTCTACTGATATCATACACCAAAAGAGCTCCAACAGCACCTCTATAATATGCGGATGTAACAGCCCTGAACCGCTCTTGACCAGCTGTATCCCAGATCTGTGCTTTGATTTCTTTACCATTGATATCCATCTTTTGGGTTTGGAACTCTACTCCTATAGTTGACTTTGAATTAGGGTAGAACTCATCTCTAGCAAATCTTGCAAGCAAATTAGATTTTCCGACCGCTGAATCACCAATTAAAACAATCTTGAACAGATAATCCTCAGTCTTTTCCTCCTCCGAATAAAAAGCCATTGCCCAAAGTGTACAGATTTGTTAAGCTAATGGACCATATTAATAGTGAGTAGCCTGGATGGATCTTTAAGCGACTAATAACCTACAAAATATCTACTTTACCCTGTTCAAACTGCAGAAATGATTCTCTGTACAAAAATAAAACAGTTGCCAGAGGAAATGTGTAAGGCAGGGAAGGTATATAAAGCGAAAAAGCTTTCCAGCAATAACCGAATCTGAGGCAACCTACCTTACAAAGCTAAGGTAGGATTAAAGATAGTACCCTCCCTGCCTCCTCTTAGATTCCTTCTACAGATGTAAATCTATCTGGATAGCTTTCTCCATTTCAAATTACAATCTAGCTCTACATAAAAAAGTGCCAAACCCTGCAGCATCACAAAAGCATCAGGTATTACAGACTTCTAATCATGAATTGGATGTGAAATGTTAAAGGCAAATTATTCCCCTGCCAAGATTGTTACAACTATTATTTTCTCTAGGGGACTGGGAACCAAAGCATAAGGTGTAAAAGCAAAATAATTTAAACATGAAAGGAGAAAGAGAGAGAGAGAGAGAGAGAGAGATCGGTATGCAACTGCCTTTGTGCTTGCAGTCTACACACGTATGCATGCTCCAAAACATTTTACCCTTGCATGGGCTATATGTAATACCTCAATGCCTTCTTTGACCGTAATTTTGGCCTTCTCTGACTCCAGTTTTCCCTCCCACTCAGTGCTTTAAGGCTGAAACCTAGAAATCAGAGGCAATGATGATTAGCTAATTCAGTTACTCCTGTAAGAGATTGCACCATGAGACATGATGATGAAACAACATGAAATTTGAGATTTCGTAAAGTCTCAAATGTGAAACATTATCGTGTCAAAGGTCACATGGCTGCATTATTCAGAATATCAACTTTATATTGCAAACCTCACCATTAATCACTAAAAGAACCTAACTCGTGAAGTAAACTACTTTATGCTAGTCTTCGAAGTCAAGAAAATAAAAGGGGATGCTAATTAAAATCAGATTGATCAACTACTTCCTGAGAAAGAGCTAAACTGAATCATCCTTATTCACATTTCCATTTTAAAAAGCCCCACATGTCTCAAATTGCTAAGCAATAACAATAAATTGCTAATCACCAAAAACAATGCTAAGCTCTGAGAAGTTGGTGGACTGTTCCAAAGGGGGGGATAAGCTTACATAGTTTTCCTTTTTAGGGGTAAAAATAAGAGTACACAATTTTAAAAAGCAACATGGTCACTGTAACTCAGACCCTTTAATTCTCAAATATAGCTGAAAAGTCAGAGAGGAAAAAAAATTATGGCTTTTACCAAATGAATGCCATACTGGGGCAGGCTAACAAACCAACCCAGTAACATTCACTCGTCGTCATATTCACCAAGCAATCCCGATCCTATTGAAAATAATAACTTGTAGACGTAAAAAAAATGTATCTTGGTATTAATATGCACGAAACAGAGAAATTAGGAATTTTAAATCCACAAATTACCAGATTGCGGGGTCAATAATGGATCAATAGCTTGGACGTGTCCAAACCTGCCACAACCCGATCCATTCAAACATTTTTCATTATCTACCCAACAAGCACAACAAACCAAACGATAACGATGACAATGATATCGAACATTTCAAAAATAAACAAATCGAAATTTGGAGATCGAAAAGAGCCGTAACTCGTAAGGAATACAAATCTCAAATTTACAAGGTTTCAAAAGAGAGAGAGAGAGAGAGAGAGAGGGAGAAAGAGACCGTGGGTGTTGTGATGAAGGGTAATCAACGGTGGAGATCGGTGGCGAACGGCGGTGATAGGGGGGGGGACAGCCAGCGGAGAGAGGTGAGAGGATAAAAGTGCACAGAGAGCGTCAGAAGCACACATCGGACAAATGATGGGGATGAGGACGATATCAAAGGTAATTTCGGAATATGTTCAAAGATGTGAGGGGTTTTTCGTCTAGCTACGAAATTCACTTCCAACGTGAAAACAGTAACGGTAAAACAGTTGTAAAGAAACTATCAATGCACGGGCCAAGATAAAGGGGATTTGCGGATGACCTAGGGTTGAATGGGAAAGTACAGAATGAGGCCCAATCCAACCCAAAAAGTAAGAGGTAGGCCTAATCGATAAATTATAGAATAATACGGTAGTATTAATTGTCATATTGTGATAGATAATAATTATAATAGGACATGTGAAAAACCAGGAATTCGAATTGAATGGTCATCTGTGTAAATGTTCAATTAAGATTTACATACAAGAAAAATAAATTGTTCATAGTATGTTTGGTAGATTTCATAATAATGTCTTGTGTAATGGTTTGTAAATTTTTGTTACCTTGGCTTTTAGCCATGGAGGAATTGCGTGATTCAATGTATTATCTAATTTGCAGAATTTAAGTGCATGTAAGAAAACAGAAAGTGAATGAGGCTGACATTTCTTGATAACCTAATTTGACTACATCTTGGTAAGATTGAAGTCATTACTCCTAATCTTTGTTCTGATCCCTAACATTTCTTGATACGTAAAATCCCGCTTAATTATGCGTAGCACTAAACAAATCACTGAAATAAGTGATTATTCTCTCCGATGTAATGTCATCCATTGCAATTCAATCTTAGGTTCGAATCCTATCTAATCTTAGAAACATGGTTTCTATTTGTGTTCTAAATTCAACAATAGAAACATGCACTAATATGTTAGATACTATGATAGGAAGGTCTACTTCGCGAGCACACATTACCATATAGGGTGAAATATTTTAATTTGTTTTATCCTTGTTGCCAATGCTAATGTTATTTTCATTTCCATTTTGAAATTAAATCGAAATCAGGGATGCTGTATATTTAATAGTCTTTTGGGTAATTAGCAACCATAGAAAGATAAGACATCTGTTTCTTCAACCTAAGATCATCATCAGTTACAAAAGCCTCTCGCCGGGTGCATAGAGGTAAGATTTATCATTAGTTTCGTGTTCAAGCATCAGCCTAGCCTATCTTGTTTTTTTTGGTGAAGCAGTGGAATGTTGCATGAGTTTTGTTTGAGTGGGTTTTTGGCAAATATAATCTTTGTTTATTGGGTTTCCAAAGA